TTATTATTATTATTATTATTATTATTATTATTATTATTATTATTATTATTATTATTAATATTATTATTATTGTTGTTGTTGTTGTTGTTAATATTAGACAACACATTCTACCTCCTAGAACACAGCCGCCATGAAAAGACTTGGATTGCCAACTGATAAAGAGGGCAGGACTTCCAGATATCTGCATGTGCAAAAACCTCTCTGAAAAACTTGTCCATAATTATACTGAGTTTATTTATCGAAATGTACATTTTATAAAGATATAAAGCTTCTCCATCACCTAGTGACCCTGAATTGAATAAACAGCTAAGGGGATGGATGGATGAATATGTTTTATAAAACTACTTTAATTGTGTGGTGCCTGTATGTAAAGTAATTAACCAAGAATAACCTCAGGCAAGGTTGTACTTTTCCATCTTAGGGGAACTATGAAGCTGCACCCACCAATTATCTTTAATATGAGGTGATTTTTAATTCAGGTACCTGAACGTAAGGAGGGGAAATAAAACTCAGCATAGATTGTAAAGTTCACAGACAGATGGTTAAATAATCAATTAGAAAAGATGCAGCATATTGGAGAGCAAAGAAAAGTAATGTGCCTCATTTTAAACATAAGTTTTATGTTATATTTTAAGAAGTTGCAAATGATGAAGAAGAAAGTTTCAGAGCTGATGGGCACTGACTGAAAAAAGCCTGCTCACCTCTAGCTAAAAGAGACATCGCTGTCCTCAAACACACCTAGACTTTTGGCTGCTGGGCTGAGATTTTATAGACAGGGACCCGAGTTGTTTTGCAGAGAGGATATGGGCAGAGGGCAGGAAATAATTGTATCAGATTTATTTCCATTTTGCTGGAGGGAGCTGTGGGACATCTAGTACTTGATTTCTGAAAGAGCAGACATTAGCTCCTGGAGGTTGCTTTAATCACTGTTTTCCAGTGGGACATAGATCTGGGTGCTGTATGCATAACAGAGATGATAAGAAAAAATTGCGCTTGCATATAATGTGTTCTAATACTTATAGGCCTGGAAAGGTGCTTTGAGCTGCATCGCATGCTAATTTAAAATGAACCAACTACAGCATGTTAATGGTGTTAATAATTGATTATCTTAATCAAAGCTGTGTATGTGCTGTTCAGAGATACATCAAACATTAAAGATACAATTTATTTTTCTAAACTTTTGCTAAAAGCAGTCATTTGAAATTCAATCAGTTGAAGAATGAAGAATAGCACTGGAAGAGGTCATAGAGGTCATTTTGCAAAGTAGTAATAGACTTATTGTTTAGGTTGGAGGGCTCATTCTCATGATGGATTCAGTAGAACTGCACCTTATTAGCCATTTACATTCATGAACCATCTTGCACAATGGTGCCAGAAGGCATTTAATCCCCCAACAGCTTTCTTGTTTTACATATTAATTGTATAACTGTTTAGTTCTACAACTATCAGAATTAATTTTCAGCTAGATGACATCATTAATGGATATTTCTGAGTGTGTCTACTTACTGTCTGTCCTCTGCTTGTTTAGCCAGCGTGGGTGCAGCCCTATGTGAGGTGATGTGAGCCAGTCAGATGAAGACATCAAATGCCATTGCTGGAACCGTGACACCCACTGAAGAGCTGGAGAGCAGGGCAAATGTTGATTTCCCTTCCTGACGGGCTGAGCAAACATGCAATAACAATATGGAGTAGGTAATTATGATGGGAACTCATTCAGTAAATATCACTTTAGCTCCATCTCATTAACAGAGGAATAAACCACAATGTTGAACAACATTAATAGATTGTTTAACTCATCATTAACCTCCAGTGCTTAACTTGCCAGATTCCACATTGTTTTTGCGCTGGAAGGAGAACCGGCGTGTCGGTCTTTCAACACAGCAGCTTCAGCAACAAAAGGTACTGTCTGTACCTGGTTTTCTCAACAGAGGAAAGCTGCCCACACATTTATTTTCAGATCTAGAAAACACCGGGTGCACTGGCAGTGTGTGTTTAACATCCCCTCTCTGTCATCGCCCACAAGAGATAAGAACTGTTAAACATTCAGGTGCTCATTTGAGTCTTCCAGGCTAGCTAAAAAGAACAGCTTTGTAACAGCGCATTGCCTATTTGCTAAATATACAGCTGTGACATTTGTTGTCATGGATTTTCTCACATGTGATAACACGTGATGAGAAAATCCACTTTGTCTACAGTATATTTATTTATATATGATTTCTAATATTCTATATAACTTTAATTTATAGTTACAACACTGGAGCTCATTGTGTATACAATATGTTATTTAAAACAAGTTTCACTGCATGCAGGTGGAATGTACTTACTGTACTCTTACTGTAAATCTATGTGTATGAAGCAATCAATTTGATGCTGGTGAAAATTATACATCAACCCATGCCTTCATCGATTGTTGGGGGGAGGTAATTTTCTCCAATAAAAAGTTAAAATCAGTTAAAATAAAAAATTCATAGCACAAATTAAAGCCAGTGATTAAAAATGTCTTGTTGATTAGAGGAGAATAGCCAGACTGTTTTGAGCTGATAGGAAGCCAATGGTAACTGAAATAACCACTCATTATAACTAAGGTATGAAGAAAGGAGTCTCTTGAAACACAGCATGCTTAACCTTGAAAGCAACAGAAGACCTGCATTGGGGCTTCTGAACACCATCTCCAGCGTCTTGTTGAATCTATGCCATGAAGACTTAAGGCACTTGTGAAGGCAAAAGAGGGACTACAAGCGAGGTGTAATTAACAAAGTGGCCAGTGAGTGTATTTGATTTTGACAAATTCATACTCTATGCCTGGCTTCTTCACAGAACAGTTGTTTTTGTCCCTACATTTACATTAACCATTGTTAACTTTGCAGGTGATGCAACAGTAACTGGGCTTATGTCCAACATAAATGAGTCAGCCTACAGAGCGGAGGTACAGAACATGAAGAGCTGGTGCTTGGAGAACAACATGTTCTTTATTAAAACAAATGCCAAGTGGCTTATATTAACTGTAGAATGTCAGAGAAGGCCTTTTCGTCAGAAGAGACAGTGTAAAGAGAATGCCTAACACATCTCACAGGGCCTCACGCAGTCTACCAACACTGTTTCAGTCTAGAAAGAAGAGCGGCTTTTCTTGAGGTAGCTGAAGAAACCATGTCTGGCACAATTCAGCACTGTAGAGTGCATCCTAACAAGTGAGCCACACAGCACCTGATAAGAAAGCTTTTTACAGTCTTGTCCTGCAAAAGGAAAACAGTTGGGTTCAGCTCAGTTAGTTCATCTATGTCTTGCACTGCAGCAGGAAGGCATAAGTGTAAAGCCTTCTTTGCATGCACCTCCAAACTGACAATAGTTTTTTCCCAGTGCAGTGACTGCTCTTGATCAGTCAACAAACTACCACACATGAGCTACTACTCCTGTAACTATACTGAGGACAGCTTACTTCATAGACACATGTTTACTACAGCATCACAGTAGTTCTATGGTATGAATTCTCAACTCGTCTCAATATCTAGATCTATAACACAGTGACAAACACTGTTATCATTATACCACAGTGTACAAGAGCTAACACATTTTATAATATTTACTTATTTTTTTACTATTACCAAATACTATTTTTTTGCTAGTTATTTTACAACAATTGCTTGGCAAACTTAATGTTGCTGAACGTGTGCAAGATTATTGAACTTTCTGTAACAAAGCTATGCTAGTCCCTTCTATCTTTATGTTCATTTGTATATGGAAATCCCTGAAACATGAATCATGGCACACACCAAATCATTTGTGCTCTAAGCAAATTTGCAATGTCTGTTGTTGTATTGTAAAACTCAGAATCTAAGATAACGAGTGAGAGAGACATGAGTTTGAATTATGCTGCTGAACTGTAACTAATATAAGCCAGCTGAGTGGAAACAAACAAAATAGTTCTCCCATTGTTAACTGTATTTCTACATGAAAATCTGTCCCATGACTGTAACTATGGTGAGTCAACTAAAAATAACTTTATCAGGAATAGACGATTTGGAACAACTGTTTTAGTAGTTTCAATGTTTATTTGAGTGTCATTATCGTTTATAATAACCCAAAAAAAGTCAAAGGCAGACACTACTCAGCACACTTTCAATTATTTCTTATTAATCTAAATGTATTATGTATGAATGTGTTATGCAGATATTGTGATGGTCTGCTTTATAAGTCCCCTTTCTAATAAGTTGCTATTACAATGTCCAAGTGGCGACCATTGATGACATGCTGTGATCAAAAATGTCTTCTCATTGCTGTGTTTAGGATGAAAACTGTTTCCATTTTGCTAAAAGCTGAGGGCATGAATGATATTGTGCTGCCCAGGAGGGGAGAGAAGCTGCAGTTCTCCAGTTATATGCCTTTCACAGCAGGTTTGGCAATCGCCGCTTCTTCTCAGAATAACAATCACTCTTTGTACTTTCTTATTCCAGGGCAGCAGACACACCTTCATTCCCTGGGCAAGAAACTTGTAATTGAAACAAATAGCACTAAATGCCACCTCTTACACTGGTATATGTATTAAATAAAGGTGACTCGTCTTGCTGGGAGTTGTAAAATGGTTTATTTTGATTGCTGAAAGCCTGGAAAAACATTTTAAAGAAAGTGTTGCACTTTTACTTTGACCTGTCATTTCAGGTTCTTGCATATAGGCCCACTGTCCCAGTAAGTAACTTCCCTTCTTCTGTATTCATAAGCCATGAAACAAAATGGATACTCCTTTCAATCAACTTATGGATTCTTGATGTTCACATTGTACTGGTCTAGATATTGTTAGTTCTCTTGTGAGTTTTTTGTTTTTTTTGCCTGTCCCATTTGGCTCTTTTGCCATCAGAATTATTGTCTAAAGGCGAAGAAAGATGCCCAACGGATTTACTTTACCAAATTTTTACTTGTTAAATACGGGACAGACTGTGGAAAAGAAAGGGGAGAAAGAAAGAGGGAAAGAAAAACAGCGGAGAAGAGGGACGGGGATAAAGGGCAAAAAACAAAAAAACCAGCAAAATAAGCAGACAAAAAATACATATATCAATCACCTGGATCACCTGTTGAGAAAGAAAAAAGAAAACAAGCAGACGAAAGAAAAAAAAGAGCAAGATAATAAACAACATCACGATGATCTATGGGAATGTAACAGTAAATGCTAAATATTAAACATTATTGTGCAGCACGTAAGATCGACAGCGCACAGTGTGCTTTGAGGTAGGAGCCAAAAAGGGTGTAGTTTGTGTGTGTGAGTCACCCGTGTGTACACCTGTGAGCATGAGCGCGCTTGTATTTAAAAGGTTCCTTCATGTAATGATCTGCTAGAGGGTGTGGGGAGCCACAGCCCCGTCCTCCAGGGCATGAAGCAGGTATGGAGGAGATCAAAACTCCAGACATCCAGAGGCCCCCAGAACACAAGAGACCAAGGAAGACCAACAGAGGGGCAGCCGCGCCACTGTCCCAGAAAGAGCTGAGGAGAGTCCCAGATGAGGGCTCACTCAGCAGCCGCGGAGCAGAGCCAGTGAGCTCCGCCGGCTGGTCAGCCAGCTGTGCCAGAGTGACCGAGCCCCAGGCCGAGAGGCCGAGGGCACCCCACCCCCAAGTGGCCCGAGCGAGCCCCAGGCTCCAGGCCCCGATAAGCAGCCACCAAGGAGTGAGCCGGTGTGTACCTGGACGCCCATCCCCGGACACAAAGAACCACCAACGCACCGATGTCTGAGGGAGTCCGCCACTGGCAGGGGAAGTGGTGGTGGGGGGAGATAGGCCTCCATACCTTGGAGGGCCTGAGATGTCCCCAGAGAGGTGGCGCCTGACACCCAACCTGACATATAGACACAGACATACAGGCACACACAGATACAAACATCCATTCCCACCCTCATGCTCTCATATGCACTTACTCCACACTCAACCAACGTGGAGACAGACATAAAGAGACACTGTACACACAATCACACTCCCCAAGCGTACTCTAAGCCCCAGGTCTAGGTACCCTTGCCCCCGAGGGGGAAACTGCACCAAGACCCAGGTAGTGTTACCCTTTTCCCTGGGGTGGAGAGAAGCAGACCGCCCCGACTCGGCAGCAGCAGGGAGGCCCCACATCCAGACCCCATCGGCCAACTTCTCCTCCCAGCCCCCCACTCCAGCAGGCCGCAGAGAACGGGGGTGTGTGAAGACTCCAAACTTGTGAGTTTTCTTAAGTTGTGTTCTTACACAATGGCAGCATTTGTTATTTTTCCATAACTAATAATTATGCTTTTAATGGATGCTGTTTAGCTACAGCTTCATTATTTACATTTATACTGTTCAAAAGCTATAAGGAAATTAATAAACTTCATTTTGTATCCCTGACATGAACTTAAATGGTAAATTTACTGTGTTTAAAGAAAATTTACCAGGGTTTCTTAAAGGTCTAGTGTATTCTTCATCTCTTGACTTTGAGATACTATTTAGGAATTGTTAAAATGTATCATATCAACTGATATAACACCATCCTGAGAGTCTGGAACCAGCTAATCAGGTATAGCCTGAAGCTTATCCCAGCTATTATAGGGCGAGAGACAGACAACCATTCACACCTATGGGCATTTTGGAATCACCAATTAACATATCCCCACTAAGTGCACTGTGGACTGTGGGAGGAAGCTAGAGTACGTGAAGACAATCTGGGCAGACACTGGAAGAACATGCAAATTCCACATAGAAAGGCTCTGGACAAGTAGTGCAGTCAAACTAAGGACCTTGCTGTGAGCTAAAAGTGCTAACCACTGCACCACTGCGTTGCCATTTCCTTAAATCTACATTCATTTTTATGCGCAGCAGAAGGCAATGACTCTGCAAAAAGAAGCCGCTGGATGACAAAATGACCTAAAGACCTTAGCAGAAACATCTGGTTAGTTTATATTTTTAGTCACTAGTTTTAAATCTTATTGAATGCAAAATGGTGTTTATTATGTAAATTCTGATTTCTTTTAGAATCTAAAGAAGGAGTAACAACTGAAAGGAGTAACTACTGACTGAGCGTTCAGTGTTTCTCAGCCAGATTCACCCAAGACAGCAAAAACATTCAACACAAGGTGTACAGAGTGGATCTACAAACCACTGAATGGTATTTTAGATTTTTTTTATATACAGAGTATGTTCACAGAGTTCCTGATAGTAGTTTTAAGGAAAGTGGGTGTCTTGGTTGCATGAGGAGATTTATTCATTTTGCATGTTGATTTCAAAAGCTGTCTTTAAAGAAAGAAAGATCAGAGTGGGATTATTATTCATAATTCACACAGACATTAGGACAGTTAGACTCCCACCACTTGTTTTATATCATCCTCCTTCAGCATTATTTTTTGGCAATAAGCAATAAGTCAAGGCCACATGAGGTCGTTTTATGACAATGCTTCACTGTAAAAGCCATGTAAAATGTAAAAGCCAGGGAATACACAATAGCATACATCAAATCAACAGCAGTATTAAACTATACCATATTTTCACTGATCCCTATTGTCTTATCGGATATTAGTTTATTTGTATTATTAGGCATCATTTATACACAAAGCTGGTGGGTGCATTGCTACATTATTTGAAATAAATCTTACATAAAAGAGTAACACAGCATATATCTAAAAGCACTGTGTCTCACTTTCTGAGGGATTACTGAAAGATTCATTGGAGTAGGACAATGAAGACTAAGAGGATATAAACAACACCATTATGAATAAATCAACTATTCTTATGTCAGTGTTTGCTTATCAACATGAAGATTGTTTTATTTAGTCTATATCCTTTGGTATAATCTGCAAATTTGTATTCAAGTCCCTTCAGAGAGGCGGGAATGAATTGGATGTAGCACATTTATCACAGTCCTCTGTGTTCTCTGTATATTTTCTCTACTGGGAAATTATGCTTCAGAGACTGTATAAGTCATTCATTGTATTGTCTAACACATTAGAGCATTCACTGATAACTCATAATCTAAGCAAAACAAACAATGGGGAGATTATGCTTCCATCTGTGTCTTTGAATCATAACCAGTTTCCACTTGATTGCACAGGAAGTGCAGCCTGATGGGAGATAGATTGTGAGGCGAGATGCTCCTCTGGTGGAGAACAGATGTCATTGCAGGCATGACTTCATGTAGCCTGTCCTTGATAGCAAGTGAGAGGACAGAGAGCTACTAATCCACCAATCAGATTACTGCAGCTCGTTAAAGAGAACATTTCCTTTAGTAAAGTGTAAAGAAAATGATTATTACACAGACATATGCAGTGGCCCTTTGTACTGTTTAAACATAACTTTAATTTGGATATTTTACATCAGTTATTTTCTATATCTACTAAAGAAAAAACAGAATTGTAGATTTTGTGTTACTGCCCAAGATTTTATAAAACAGTAAAAAAAATGTACATCCTATAACAATGTTTGAGAATAATTGATCTTAGTAATATAGAAATATATTATAATACAGTAATTCAATTTTATAGATATTCTATTTTATACTGTGCTGTAAAATCAAACGTCTTTAATGTATATTCCCCACTCACCCTGTAACCATTCGTTTACGCTTTTTGCCAATTTTCAAACAAACAAGTCATTACATTAGCCTTGAAGACCTTCGTGGATGTAAGATGAATATTAATGGATTGTTGACATGACCCCATGTTACACCCCTTCAAAGTCTTATCAGAAAATTGTAAAAATCTTAAAATGTTTCAATCATGAAAAAAAACATACATGGAATTGCACTCAACAGCCATTTCATTAGTTAAGTCCTGATTAAACCCTTTTTTGGTCTCAGTTCTTTGTGGCATAAAATCACCAAGGGACCGCAGACATTCTGCAGAGATTTTAGAATAATACAGTTCCTGCTGATTTGCTGGCTGCACATCCATGAGTTTCCACCACATTCTAAGGTTGCTCTGTTATATTGAGATCTGGTAAGGCCATTTGAGTACAGTGAGCTCATTGTCATGTTGAAGAAAACGGCTTGAGATGATCTGAGCTTTGTGACATGCTGCAATATCCTGCTATAAACACCCATCACTGTGGTAATGATGATCGGATGTGCAACAACAATACTTGGGAAAGCTATGGTGTTTAAACAATGCTCAGTTGGTACTAATAATAATATAATATAATATAATATAATATAATATAATATAATATAATATAATATAATATAATATAATATAATATAATATAATATAATATAATATAATATAATATAATATAATAAAGAAAACATCTCAACCTCAATTTTCTGTTCTAAGCTGTCAGTCACTCTGCTGCTGTGGCTCATCTGCTTCAAGGTTCGATGTATTGTGCATTCAGAGATGCTCTTCCATATACAGTACCTTGATTGCAGTGAGTGGTTATTTGAACTACTGCCTCCTCTACTTTAATTTACAAGGCATTTCTCCCACTCGCTGAACTCAAAGCAAAATCAGTTTTCTTGGGTATATACTGACATATATACATATACATTACATACATATACAGTATGTAACTTTTATACCATCTCTACTTACATTTTAGCAATTGTATGCTGTGCTGTACAAGTCAAGCCTGTTTACTGTGTATAGCATTGCAAAGCAACACTGAAGATAACAAAGCCTAAATAAAAAAACATATTTTTAAAAAAAGACAGATTTCTGAAAGAAGCCACAGTTTCACTTGAGGTTGGTTTTAAGAAAATCGTGACATTATTTTAACCAGATTCATGAGGTCATTACCTGGATTACTTTCGCTTGCTGCACTTTGCTCATGCTTGTTTCAGTCCAGTTAGATTGTGGAGGCTGGATGAAGCACACAAATACGACAAGGACAATATTTTCTTAAAAGATC